CGCCCCGGCCTCGCGCCTGATCCTGAAGAGGCCAGGACCCAGCCCACTATTCCAACTCCCTCGCGGCCTGCGTTGCTGCGCACCTCCAGTTTCCGGCTACTGTACAGGGTGGGAGCCGAGGCCCGGTCCGACCGACATGGGAGCCGCGCCTCCACCCAGCCCTGGGTCCGGACCCTTTCCTACCCTTCGGCTTCACATCTGCAGCCCGGCTCTGACCAGATCAGGCGGGCCAGTTCTCCAGACTGCCTGCCACGCAATGCCGGCCCACCCTCCCGTACCGGACCCCTGCGAAGCGCGGGCAGCAGGAGTGTACAAAGAATTTTACTAAACAGGAAGGAGCAGATGGGCGAGCGAGCAGGACGTCCCTTCACTCCGCGTAGGTAGCGTCATCATTGCTGTCGCTGTAGGCGGAGGAGGAGAGCTCCTCGCGGGGTGTGCAGACCGGGCACCGCTGCCGCATGTCGTTCCAGCATGACCAGCAATATACCGCCTCGCAGTCCGGCGTCGGGCACACATAGGACTCGGGCGCCTCGGGTGCCTGGCACACCACGCATCGCCGGCGCAGCCAGGGGCTCAAGATGGGGCAGCGGCGGTGCAGGATGTCCACCAGGTGGCGGCGCTGTTAGGAGGCAAGGCGGGTTTAGAGCCTGTTGGGGAGTAGCGGGGAAAGAAGGGGTGCGAAGGGTACTGGATAGCACTTCTGCTCTGAAATCTCAAGGCCTGACTATGCTCACATGTTGGAGGGAGCTGGATTGGGCAAAGAAGACCCGTGGAGGGCAAGGGTACTGTGAAGTGGGTCCTAGAGAGCCTCCCTCACTCCTTGATGGAGAGTGGGAGGATGCAGCCTACACCCTCTCCCAGCCAGTAACAGCAACAACCATCATAGTTTTGCACTTTCCCATGAATCACCTTAGTTGATTCTCACCGTGGGGCAGAGACATGAGTAGGGCAGATAAGACCATCACTACTGTGTTCCCCCACTTTACAGATGAGAAAGATGAACCTCATGAAGGTTAAGTGAATTTCCAAAGGCACAGAGGATAAACAATCAAACCTCGCTGGACCCAGGTACCCTGATTCCAAATCATAAGGCTGGCTTATTATGCTTCCTCCCTCTTTCACCCTCTCTCCACACAATTGCCAGGAATTCTCAGGCCACATTATCAGGTCACTCTCTGCTCAAGAAACTCCAGGGGCCCCACTACCTGCTAGACAAAGACAGAACTCCGGGGCATGGCCTTCTGAGCCTTCCACAGTCTGGTGCCTTTCTAGCCTCTGCTCCAACTTACCTCTCCCTGAACTTTGCATCTTTTGTACCAGTTTCTCCTTAGACTAGCCCTGGCTCTTGCCATTCCCTTTAGACTCTGAGTCTTTGCACATTCTGTTCCCTCAGCTTGGAATGAAAGCCCTTCACATTTCCACCTGCCCATCAAAATCCGGTTAACTCCATGAACTGTCATGTAATCATAGTATGTTCATTTTTTTCATCAGGCATTCATTCAGCCCCTATTGTGTGTCATGGGAGTTGGGGCAATCTAGACACTGAAGGAAAAAGTTAAGCAAACATAGTCTGTCACTTTTATGAACTTTGTTAGGTCTGGTTAAATAAGAATGGCTGCCACTCATTTTTAAAATAATGTTGGGCCCTGTACCAAGAAACTGAAAGCAAATTAACTAAATTCAGACAATAACCACTTAAGGCAGATATTGGTGTCATCATCTCTTTTTCAGGCGAGAAAACTGTTGCTTGGAGAGGTGGCTACTTGCCTAGGATCACCCAATGACAATTAGCACGTGTATGGAACTTGCTGTGTGCCTACAACAACCAGATGAAGTAGTTAACTCCATTTTACAGGAGGGAAGAACCAAGGCTCAGCATTAAGTAAGTGCTTCAAGATTACACAATTGTCAGAGTAATAAGGGGAGGAGCCAGAATACAAACCCTCTGGCGTCAGAGCCCCACACCTAACCACCATTCTGTTACTGATCTTTAGTGAGCTGGCCTTACAGATCTGTCCAAGCTCCCCATTCTTCAGAGGGAAAAACTGAGGTCACGTGAGGACCATGGCCAAGGTCATACAGCTTAATGAGGGAGTGTGGACTGGAATCTGGTTCTTCTGACTGTGTACTTTCTGTACACCACATACCCTTTCATGAGACCTCCCTTACCCCCAGCCCACCTGCCCTCTGAACTGCACTGAGCTTCTGGTCTGAACTGCACTCTTAGAAGAACCTGTGGTGCCTTGTTTCTGATGAACCCTTCTTGCTTTCCTTTGACCTGACTATCAAATCCCCCTTTTCAGCCTGCTTCCCAGTGGTCCACTGAGGATCTCAGGCTGAGCTGGATCCTGGGGTACAGAGATGGACACAGCCTTGACCTCCAGGAGCTGGAGGACCAGGGCCCTTTGCATGCATCCCATCAGAACTGACTGGGCGTCAGTAGGCCTGGGACCTCGGTGGGGGCTGGGCACAGGGGCACAGGCCTAGACTTACAGGAGCCCTCTGCTGTTGTGCCCGCCTCATGATGGTGGCCCTCCTCAGTTGGGTGAAGGCTGCTCTCTTCCTCAGGAGCTCATTATAGAGGAACAGGATCCGCTGCTTCTCTCGCTGGGGCCGGGGAGAGTGGGTCAGTGACAGTGACAGTGTTAAGGAGAAAGGCATCTCCCAAAGATGGGGCCGGTGGGGAGCTGGGTGCGGGCTGGTGTGTGTGCGTAGGGGTGGAGGGGTCAGGGGCGGGGTGGACCTTGGGGAAGTAGAAGGCTGCGATGACCCTCCGGAGCCGGTAGCCGAGCGCCTGGAGCAGGCAGAGACACACGAGCAGGCCGCTTGGCAGTGCAGCCCTCAGATAGGCCCTGGTGCTCAGGGGCACGGGCTGGGGCAGGCAGGCTGGGGGAGGGGGCAGGCCTGTGAGGGGTCTGGTCAGGATTGGCTTTGGGTTGAATACCCCGTGCCAGGGGGATGGGGGTTAAGTCTCTGATTACCCTGCCTTCCTCCTGCCTGCCCCTCACCCTGCAGAGCTGTGCTGCCAATACAGGAGGCTATTTCCTCAGCATGGCACAAATGTAGAAATTTTCCATCATGGCAGAAAGTTCTGTTGGACAGGGTTGCTCCCAAGGGCTGGGACTCTCTGGCCCTAAGGCCCCAGCCCTCAGAGCCCTCTGACCCAAGCCTGTCATCCTCCAACTCTGACCTGATGTTTCCCGCTCTGATTTCTCCAACCCAGCCTCGCCACTTTGCCACCTCACCAAACCCAAGGCGGTCGCCCAACGCTTTGTCCTGGAAAGACTCTGTCTCCACCCGCGCTCCACCCTCAGTTCCTCTGATCCAAATTTTAGCATCACTCACGCATGTTGTTTGATTCCACTACTGTCTCTGAGGAGGTGTTCAGGGCCCCGATGGTTTTCCGAAGAAGCCGGGCAAGCATAGAGTCTCCCCCGACTTTCACTTCCAATTTATGACTGCCTGAAGCCAGAATAGGGGCCGTGGTATGTGGGGGGGTGGGTATGGATCACGAAAGAGTTGGAGTTAAGGGGATGGGGCAGGATGGGGACTGGATGAAGGGGAGAGGTAAGGGCATAGAAAAACTCACTGCACAGGACTTTTTGTCCTCTCACCAAATACTAACTCCTCCTTTTGGTAAATATAAAGGGGGGTTGGAAACTGAGGCCCCCAGTGACAGCTGTCAGATTGCAGGGCTGACACTTGACCCTGCAGAGGACAGGGAGGGGCTGAGACGCAGAAGGAGGTGCAAAATGGGAAGAATTGGGGTGGAGTGGCTGCACAGGGGTGGGGGTTCTCCAGGGGGCTGTCTCCTGGGCCTGGAGCCAGGGCTGGGCTCACTGCGGAAAGAGTACTGCAGGAAAGAGTGGTGGCGGATGGTGTCGAAGATGGAGTAGAGAACCCAGTCCAGGCCACAGAGCAGCAGCAGCAGCAGCAGCACGGGCAATGTCTCCATGAGCTCCCTTACCTGCCCAAGGAGCAGGAGGGGCGGAGCTGGGCAGCTTCGCCTGCCCTGGCCTGAAGCCCTTTCTGATGCCTTTGCCCTCCACCCCTCGGGCCTCTGCCTCTGTAGGATCAGGAGTCTCTCCTTCATGCCACCCTCACCACATTTCTCATTTCTGAGGCCTGGATGGTGGGGTCCCTGGGGAAGATGACGGTTTTCTTCTCAGCTTTGCGGAGCGGCAGCAGAGTCCGTTTGCCCTGGGAAAATGTCCACACAGTGAGAAACACTGAGCAGCCTCTCCCCTTTCCTGCTGCCCTCCAGGGCCGTGAAGCCACACAGGGCACAGAGCAGGGCGCCCTTGGGCCAGGCTGCGCCGCTCACCAGCTTCCTCCTGCGTTCATCGATCTGACAGAAGTAGGTGCTGATGTAGATGTTGTCAAAGCGGATGTCCCCGTTATAGCTGTCCACGTAGGAGAAGCACCTGTGGATTAGGGGGTCTCTGTCTCTTCCAGGTTCGCCGACGCCCTGCCGTGGGGTTCCTGGGCGCACAGCCATTCAGCCGACCACCCAGCATGCACTGGACCCCAGCTATGTCCTAGGAGAAGGCACTTCTGCCCTGCCTCTCAGCAGCCCACAGCCCAGTGAGAGACATGCACACATACGCTGATGAGACATAATAGAGGTGAGGAGAGGAGGGAGTCATGTAAGGGCATGGGAGGTAGGGGAAGGTTTCCCAGGCATGGAACTTTCTGGATGAATAGCAAGCAGAGGAAACAGCAGGAGAAAAAGCACTGAGACAAGAAACCCGTAAAGGTGGCGGGAATTTCCTGATTCACCTCTCAAGTCCCTACCTCTTGGCCAAGCCCTCAAGACATATCCTGGAAGTCACGTCAAGCAAAATTCATTCCAACCACTGTTTCCCTTTTCCTCTAACACACCCTTGAGTACATTGGTGTTTTGTGTGTGTGTGTGTGTGTGTGTGTGTGTGTGTGTGTGTGTGTGTGTGCGCTTGTGCGCGCGCGCGCGAGTGCAAATGTAGCTCCCCTCTGTGTATCTCCCAAAGTCCCACATAATGCTTCTGTTTCCTAAGAAAAAAATGTTAATTGTTGGAAATGTGTTTTAAACTGTAAAATTACATTAAGTAAGCTCTGTAAACTGTGAAACATAAGTTCCAGATCTGTTGGTTCTGGGACCCTGTAAAAATCCACGTCTTCGCCTTTAAGGTAGAAGTAACTATAAATGCAAAGAAAGGCTATGAGCGCCCCCTTGTGGAGAGACCTACCGCTGCCGGGCCTGGGCCCCGCCCCCTGGCCAGCTCTGTCCCTTCAGTGAGTGACCCCACCCAGGTTGAAAGCCTGGAAATGGCTTTTGACTTTGTGCCTCCTTCCTTCCCTCCCCAGGCTGGCTCTGAGACCTGCTGCACCTTTCCCTTCCTCCCTCCATCTCAGGCCAACTTCCTGCCACACCCCACTCCAGCCAGGCTCCCTAACCTCTGACCCACCTTGGCCTCCCTGCCTCCAAGCTGCTCCAGTCCACCCTGAAACCCTGCAACTGAGGGGCAGTTCAGGGCCCTCCTGCAGGGATTTTTCAGACTGTTCTGACCATGCCCGCTTCAGCCCAGTCCTCAACCCCAGCCTCTGTCTTCCACACCCCACAAACGCCAGAATCCTGGCCCAAGAGAACTCCTTTCCTCTTCTTGACCATGGCTCCCTATCTGCAGTCTTTTGAAGCCCCATTATGGCCCTCTCAGGGGCACCTTTTCAGCTCCCACCCCTGTCCCAAGAGCCAGTTCATAGTACAGCCGTGAACCATCTGTTTTGTTGATGTCTCTCTTGCTTCCCCTAGACCATGAGCTTCTTGAGGGCAGGAATATGGCTCATTCATCTTTGTCCTTCCACAGGGCCCTGGGCACACATGTAACCACTCACTTGTGGTCACTCTAGGCCCCACAGATGGGGCCAACCAAGCAGGAGCTCCTATGGCTGCCCTTGCCCAGCCCCTGCCCATCTCAGGCATTTGGGGGTGGAGACAGGACATAGAGGGTCCAGAGGTTGGCAGGGAAGCCAGGTAAGGCCCAGGAGCCCAGCTAGACGCCAGGCTGGGTGGGGTTGAGGACTTTGGTCCAAATGGAGGGAAAGTAGCTGCCAACGCAGCAGGCAGGAGAAAATGAAAGCAGAATCGGACGATAAAAATGGCACAAAGTCAGAGCCAAGGGGAATATGAAGGGCAAGAAAAAAAAATCAAAAGTCAAAGCTAAAAGTAAAGAAAAAAGTCAGCATCAGGATAAAGGCCGGAAGGAGGCAGATAAATGAAGACAGTCACCCTTTTAAGGTGGTGGGAACCTGGGTAACGTTCCTTCTGACAAAATGTCCACATTTCCTTTAACTTTGTGTAAACAACAAACCCAGTTTTATAAAAAGGCAAAGTTAAAGGCCCAAGAATGTTCACATTTGGAGTCGAAGGTGGGCTCTGCAGCTCCATCCTTAGAGCCTCCCTCAGGGCAGGGCTTCCATCCAGAGCAGAGGAGGGGGCTTCTGGGTGGAGGTTGAGGACTCACGCGCGGAGGACGAGCAGGAAGGTGCAGGAGAGCAGCACGTGCAGCAGCCCCAGAGCCCACTCCAGCTGGGCCTCCTGACGTCTCACGTAGTCCCGCACCTCGGTGCTCACATGTTCCCAGCTCGTGTTGAGGCCCAGCACCCCAGCCCGCTTCTCTTCCTGGTGGAGGGCGTTGGGCTGACTCAGAGCCTCAGCCTCCCAGCCTCCCAACCTCCCAGCCTTCCAGCCTCTCTGCAGCTTCTCTTCTCTGATGCCCGCTCTTGTCCCCTGACTCTTCTCAAGACCTTTAGGATTGCCACCTCCTTCTGTTCGCTGCCCTCCTTGACTCAGTCTTGCTCCCCTACATCTGTATGAGCTGACATCTTCCCACACCTGGCTGACTCTTCTGTCCTCAAGTCAGGTCTCTGTCTGTGTGAGCCACAAGCTCGGCCCTCTTCCCCACCCTGTCCCCTCACTCACAGCCAGTCACCTCTCTCCTGTGTCCTCTCACTTGCTCTTCCTCACACCCTTTTCCCGGTGCCCTCCTCCCACTCCCTATCTCCCCCTGCCCCCACCCCTATCTCCCCCTGCCCCCACCCCCGCCCTCACACCCTCCTCCTACCTTGAGGTTAATAGTGGCTGAAAATTCCCCCTCCAGGCTGCGAATAGACTGGTTGAGGGTGTCATAGGTCTGCCCAAAGTTGCCCTCCACTGGGATGCGGCTGCGGCACCAGACCTCCATCACTGGCCGGGGGGTGGGGAGGGGACAGGTCAGGGACTTCCCTGTACCCAGCCTCCAGTCCTCCCTTCCCCTGAGCCTCTTCATCCTGCTTTTCTGTCTCTCTGCCTGTGACTTTCTACCACCCTCAGTCTTTCCCCCTTCACTCTCCTTGAATTCTTTCCCCCATTTTTTCACCTGTCTATAACCATACCAAAGGTTGATAATGATAGCCAACATTTAATACAGTGATTCCTCTCCGTGCCAGTGCTGTTGCCTGCTTTACACACATTACCCCTTAAAGCCTCAAAAACTCCAAGTGGGATAAACATATCATTGTACCCATCTTTCAGATGAAGAGACAAAGCTGAGAGCCTTGCTGTAAACTTACCCGAGTCACAGAGCCTGTCAGTGGAGGGGCTGGGATCTGAGGGTGCCGTGTCCCCGGAGCCGAAACCCTCCCCTCCTGATTGCCTTCTGCCCCACACCTACCTGGGGTCTCCAAGGACTCAGACCCCAGCCCTGGTGCTCCCCACCCTCCTGCTGCGGTGCTGACCCTTGGCAATGCCACAGAAGAACTTGAACTTCATGGGCAGGCAGAGCAGATGGCTAAGGAGCGGGACCCAGATGCGTTGCATGCACTCTTCGTGCTTTTGGTCAAACCAGTGACGGCAGTGGAGCATGGCCTTGTTCACCACATCTGTGGGAAGGGGCAACAGGTGCCTGAGGTCCCCACACCCTCACCTGGAGCCCCGCCCACCCACCCCCAGGGACCCCACCCTCACAGGAGCAACGCAGCTTGGTCCGCAGCTCATACATCTTCTGTGTAGAGAGGCGGTGTCTGGAGGCTGAGGCACGGCGGATCTCTCTGCCTTGGGCTGTCTCCTCTGAGCCCAGGGCATCCTCGGGAGTGAAGCCGGTCTCACTGTTCACCTGGGCATCCAGCTCCTCAAAGGAGTTGGTGATGTTCTGAGTCTCGGCTTTCATCAAATCTTTGCTCCCCTGGGGTTGGAGCGGGAGGGAAGAAATGGATCAGACATGGGAGCTTAGAGCCTCTGCTGCCCGACAGCCTGTTCTTTCCTCAATAGCCAAGCTTTGGGCTCTTACCTCAATTCTATAGGGAGACTAAGCCCTGAGACAGACTTTCATCTCAGATTCTCCACTGTTCGTAGTCCTTGGGAGCCCTCTCCCCTCCCCAGGTGCCTCTGCTCACCTCCCAGGCTCCCAGCTCCTCCTGAGGCCTCCCATCCAAGAAGGGTTCCCCAGGTCCTTGGACTTCACCCATCACTAATCTCGCAGACCACTGTGCCAACTCAAGGTCCCAAGCCCCTCAGTCCTTATCTCCCCAGCTCCTCAACTCTCCAATTCTTCCGAACCCCCATCTCTAGTCTTCTAGTACCCAATTCCCTAATCCTCTGGTCCTCAAAGCTTCCAGAGTGTTCAAGGCCAGGGCCCCCAATTTCCTGGCATTCTAGCTCAGCTGCCCAGAGTACCAGCTACTTAGGTGGTTGGAAAAGTGTGTGTCTGGGGGAGTCCCGATGGCTTGGGACAGGGGCTATCCTGGCATTTATCGCCCAGGGACC